GTATGCACCAGAACTTTAAAAAAAAAACCTAAAGGGAGCCATAAAAAGGACAAGAAAACCGAGAGAAAAATAACATGACAAATTGCCAGCGCTTCAGGATTTGCAAGTATCATGTCAACAGAAATCCAAGCAGAAGAATTCAAGTGGTATTTGAAAGTGTCTAGAACGGTTATGCAAATAAATTGCACATCAGAAGATCTCCTTTGGGAAAGAATGTAGTTCCTTACCCTCTCAAATAGTAGTCAATTGGACTACAGGGTTGGACTTCGGGGAAAACTCCAGCAAAGTGTTCTCTCAAGCATCGATTCAGATTAAATAGTATCTGACCCTATTGCTGGAAAAAAATAAGTCTCCAAGAGTCCACTACCCCTTACATAAAGAAGTCGTGGTCTACGCCAGTGAGAGAGAAAGACAGGGTTGGGTTTTCATTGTTGTTTTTTTACTCCTGCTCCTTCCTTATACCAAAAATTGTAGGAGGCCAACCCATTTGTTAGAGAAGTTGAAAGTAATAAACTGGAAACAATTGAAAGAAGATTGGGTGGTTTAAGGTACTTTTCCTATGGTCTGGTGTCCCTGTTGCTTGTTTTCACAAAATGCTTAATGATGTACTTCCACTTTTTGCAAATACTTGTGTATTGTCAATCTGAACAGCACTTAAAAAGTATACAATGGTGATGGGTCATCTAAACGTTGGTTTGAACAAGGCATTTGATGATATACTGTAGTAAAAAACTCAGCATTGTTTGGAAAAGTAGGTGAGGTGAAGAGAAGACTGGATTAGATGACCAAATAAGATTTTTCTAATTCTGATTTTATTCTATGATCTGTCTGATGACATCATAGTCTTTGAGCGTCAAAATTCTATCTATCTAGCGCCACTGCTTGATGGACTCTTGCCAAGATGTTCTGACTTAGTGAGAGTTAATGAAAAACATATTAGTAGAATGGAAGTAAAATCCCTCCATTCCTAATTATAGGAACCACTGCAGCATCTACGGTGGTTGATGTGAGTCCACACAGTGTCACTTAAACCCTGCCTCCAGTCTCCACACAAATTGTCATGGAGTTGAGAGCAGTTTTGAATGCAATTAGAGCTCCACGACTGGATGACACCAGTGCAGACAACTGGCCCACATTCTTTTATGCAAACAATCTAGAAAGAACAGGGTTTTTTTCTGCTGTGTAGGAAAGCAGAAAGTAAGAATGCTTGCAAGCAGGCTTGGCAAGTCGGTGATAGACCTGTATGGCTGGTCCCTGGAGCGCCGAGACAAAGGTTGCATAATTTATATAGCACCTTGTTGACCAAGTCAAAACTGGTTCCTGTTGCTGTAGGGGATGGTAGTGGACAAGCTGAAGGTCTTATCACATCTGGTAATTCAGAACCAGGATATTTTTCTACATCCTAAATCAGGATATGGCCCTGTCTGCTCAACTCCTGAGAGTTTAACTATTCCAAGATTTTAGACACTTCATCCATGATGTTAATTACTTGAAAGTCTATACAACCAGTGAAAAAAATTTTAGTCTGGTGTGAAACCAATATGAATCTTTTCCCCTTGTCTTAAATAAACTATATAGTCACAATTTTTAAATATCCATGTCAGTCTGGTTGAATTTATTACTGTTTCTCAACATGTAGCAGGTAAACCATTTACAGCTGAGCCCCCGCTCGCCAGGTCCTTGCGGAACTTGTTGCATTTACCATTTACCATTTTTTTTAAAGTAATCTCACGGGATATTAATGCACTCTTACCAAGCTGCTGAACCCTCTGTTTGAGCCACATGCTGCTTCTAAGCTCAAGTTTCCAACACACAAGATTTTATTTTTGGTGCGAGTAACATCAGTTCAGAGTAAATCATGATGCTTCCATTGCACCAGGTTGTAAAGCTTGGTAACACTCAAGAGATTGATGGCTTTGCACACACGGGGTTCCCGGATTCTATCGGGGCATTCGATGGGACCCATATGCATATCATTTTCCCCTGACACCAGATCTCATTTATAAACAGAAAGGGGTGTTTCTTCAAGTGATGGTCCACACGTGGGCGCGCATACATGCCATGAGCCTGAGTCCTGAAGTGTTTCTTAGTAGTGTCCGTTGACCTGCATGTGCATGTGTGTCCCCAAAGGAGTATTTCTTTGTGGTGCTCTATGGCCTGCCTGATAACTGTGGCAGGTTGATGTAGTCTTCAGCTGCTGAAGGTTGGTCTTCCAAGAAGACAGTTTCTGCTGCTTGTGATGTAGCTCTAAGAAGCCAAAATTCATCCTAGGTTTTGTTCTGTTTGTTTACATGTACTGAAGCTGTGATTGTGAGCAAACTTTTGATGATCTTTCTTCTACAGGAAGCTTTGTAGCATTTGATATGGGAACCCGAAAAACTGACTCTGTTTTTATGGTAAAAGTCAGGAAATTCAAAGTTAATAACCTAAAAGCCATATTCATATGATATTGTAGTTAGTCCTAGAACTGTGTCCATACAGATTCTACCTTATGACTATCTCCATTTAAACATTTTCATACAATTGTATAGGGAACCCTTTTTTTAGCAGTTTGGCAACCTCAGTCTATTTTCTATATACATACCTTTATAATCCGGAGTGCTGGTATCCCATTGGTTATTCTTACATTTCAGCTAATGTGAGTTACATAGGTATTCCCTTACTGACAGGCATTCTAGTTCGCTTGTATTCTTTCTTTTGAAGGTGAGCTACAAAGGGGAAAAAAACTGTCTTGTACCCTTTTCACTCCTTTGAGATGTAAGGGACTTGGAAGGTTTTGTCTTTAAAAGATATTTTTTCTGGTTATTTTTTTATATTAGAAATAACTGGAGAATGAGTGAAGTGGTGACTTCACATGAACCAAAAGAGTGAAAGTTGAACTAGAACTGAGCTGCAACAGTTACCGAAGGAGAGAAATTCTGACACCTGGAGTGTCCACTTCCAATTCCCATCAGTTTCCTTAACTGGAAGACTATTTGTGCTAAGTTTAAGATTCTTAATCACTCTCTTGCCCTCTATGTTGCTACAGCACAGTTCAAACTTCCAGGCTGCAAATTTATTTGGCTGAGTGAGCGAGAGAGAGAAAAATAAAGATGATTGGTAAACATTTCTCAGTTCTCTGATGAAGCTATTGCCCTTCCTTAGATAAAGAAATAGATGGAAGTTACCAAACTTCCACTTATTTCTTTCTGTATTTCAAGATTTGTATCTTTCACACCCAGCCAATCATTAATCAGATATGCAGCAGAGAGGGGAGCCAGCTCACCTGGGAGTCTGGAAGTCCTGGTTTTCCCAGGGCAGTCGTCATGGCAGGGTTACCTCAGATTCAGGGTTCCTGGAAGCCTTCAGGTCCCCAGCAAGTCAGCCAGATTTCTAACAGAAACCTGCCTGTGGTTTGTCAAAAGCTTGTTGAACCTTGGATGAACAGCTGTATTCCTATGCCTTTTCTGTCATTTTTTTCCAGCATGAATGCCAAAATTGAAACTGAACATGAATATTCTAGTCCAAAATCAGGCCAACATTGCCACTATCACAGCAATAGCTTCACACACTCTTCTGGAACCCCAGGACAGACAGCCTCTCAAGGGCACAGGGTGGATCACACCAGCCTTCTCTCCCCTGTCCCCCTCCCAAGATATCACATAGAGAAGGTCCTCCCCGCATCCCTTCCCAGCTAGTGGTTGGGGGCTATCTATATCCCCTTCACCCATAAGCAAGGAATTACCTGCATTCCCTCAAGTAAATGATCTCCTGTATCTAGCTAATGTAACTGGTCCTGTAAATCAAGCTTCACTGAGGATTCGAAAAATGCTGATTTAGTTTGAGTTCACTATTCATCCTCTTGAAGAAGTAGTGTGTGATCCTGTCATTAAAGACTATCACAATGTATGCGTGCAGGCGGACAGAATTAAGGTTGCATGGGTAACCTAAATTCTGGCTTTTCCTAACTTTCAAGTACTTGATTTTGCAGCTTAAATGTTTTTTTAATATAGTATTAGTGTGTTGGGGAGGAAAAGGGGGCAGGTGGAGGAGAAGGGAGTGTAATTGAGTTGCATGTGATCTGTAGTCAATATTGTTGTTCTTAGAGTGATTGCTCATGTGTATTCCACAGTAGGTGTGCATGCTCGCCACGTGCACTGGTGCTGGAAGTTTTTCCCTCAGTAGTACCTGTAGGGGGGAGCGCTGCTGCAACCCCGGGACTGGTGCCTCTACAGCGCACTATAAGGGGAGCCGCGCGCTCCCCCCACCCTCAGTTTCAGCTTAGTTAGTTAGTGTTCGGGCCGGGGCATGCCCCAGGGTTTAAATCATGCGAGTCTTGCAGGCGTTCGATGCCTAGAAGTGACCTGCACGCAGATTGTCTCTGCTGCTTGGGCGAATCTCTCATCAGCGACCGCTGTAAGATCTGCAGGTCCTTTAAACCCAGAACTAAAAAAGAGAGGGACATTAGAATTCGGGTCTTTCTCATGGAGTCGGCACTGGCTCCATCCCCGGTGCGCCAAGTGGAATCAGCACCGGGCACTTTGTCTTAGGTGCGCAGAGATCTCCCCGCACCGTCCGGCGGCTGGCACTGCTTCCCGTCCGGTGGCCGGCACTGCTCCCCGTCCAAGAAGCAGAGAAAGGCCCCGTCCTCTCGAAGGCGTTGAGAGAAAGCAAGGGGTGAGGCTCGACCCGTGTCGGGCAGCCCCAGTTCCCCCCTGGGCTCTAGAGCTTCAACTCAGGTTGAGCAGAGCAGCCTGAGTTGCATTGACTCAGGCCTCTCCGGACGTCCGCATGCCTTCAATGCCGGAGGCCGTGCAGGCGGCCAAAGACATTATGACTCTGCAGGTGCCCAGGGCACCGCCGGCACCCGGACCCCGCTCTAGAGTCAAGCCGCCGCTGGGTTCTCGACAGTCGACACTGACCCGACACAGGTCCTGGTCAGGGGATCGCTCTTGGGCCCACTTGCCACTCAGTGTCCTGTCAGGACACAGTCTCCAGCCTCCGCTTTTGTCGCCCAACAGGTTATCTGGTTGGGTGCCGTCGGAGCGGAGTTCCAGGCACCGTTCCACGCCGAGTACAAAATATCGGCGGGACAGGGGAAGACGCCGTAGACGCTCTCATTCTCGGCATAGCTACCGAAGCCGCTCTCGACACGGGCGCCATCGCCAGTCACATTCCAGCTCTCTCACCTCGAGGCACCGTGCCCACGGTTCCCGGCGGGGATCACCAGCTCCACATCATCACAGATCCAGGCGTCGAAGCGTCTTGAGGAGTAGCAGCTCGACGCAGCACCGTTCGTCGACGTCAGAGTCCCAGTCCCCTGGCAGACATCGCTCGATACCCCGCTTGTACCGCTCCCACTGCACCCATAGGTCATTGGTAACCTTGACCTTTACGCAGCGCCCTACGACTCAGCCGGGCCAACCTGACCAGCTGGTGCCGCCGGTGCCACACCAGAGTCAATGGCAAGGGCCCCCATAGCAAGGCCAGTGGTGCCAGTGGAGCCCCTGGCACCCTGTGCACGCCCAGCAAGGCCCTCAGTCAATAGCACGGGCATCAGAGGCTCCTTCAGACTCACTATCCAGATCTCCGAGGATCCTCGGCACCGCACGAGGAGTCCGACCAAAGGGTGGATCCCGTGGCACCGGCCGACGTGCAGAGCCCCGTACCGGCCCCCTCCCCCGCAGGAGGACTTCAGGGCTAGGGCTACTAAAGTGAGTTGCATCCAGTCTCTAACTCCAAGCTGAGGAGATGAAGGGACCCTCAGACTCACTGTTTAACGTGCTCTCATCCTCGGTACCCGGCAGAGTGGCCCTCCCGCTGCACGAAGAGGTGGCTAACATCTCCAATGCCCTCTGGCGAATGCCGGCCTCCTTCGCCCCGATATCGAAAAAGACAGAGCGCAAATACTTCGTGCCAACGAAAGGGCATGAATACCTTTATAACCCACCCGGCCCCCAACTCCCTAGTGGTGGAGTCCGTAAATAATAGGGAAAGACAGGGTCAACCAGGACCCACACCCAAAAATAAACTCTAAAAGACTGGACTCTATTTGGCAGGAAGCTTTATTCATTGGCCAGCTTCCACCTCTGGGTGGACAACCACCAGGCCCTCCTCAGTCGATATGAGTTTAACTTGTGGGGGAGTTTAACTTATGTTCACTGCTGAAATTCGAGCCCTCCCTTCCGGAGCGCAAAAGGAAGGATTTTAAGGTGCTGGTGGAGGAGGGCGCCGCTGCAAAAAGGGCTGCTCGGCAGGCGGCGGCGGATGCAGCTGACACGGCTGCTCAGTCCATGGCCTCGGCCGTGTCCCTGCGCAGGGCATCGTGGCTACTGCTGCCTGGGCACTCCACGGAGGCGCAGTCTGTGATGCAGGATTTCCCTTTGACAGCAAGGACCTGTTCACAGAACAAACAGACATGAGGCTCCATGGCATGAAGGACTCATGTACTACCCTTCAAACCCTCGGACTCTACGTCCAGCCCAAGGAAAAGCCTAAGACGCAAGCCTCCGTCCCTGCGCCCCAGCCAAGATACGAGCCCGCTTACAAGAGGTCCAAGACCCAAAAGAGGCGACCTCAGAGGCAGTGTCGCTCTGCCCCGCAGCCTAGGCCCTCCAGGGGCAAGCAGCAGGGCAAGAGCCGGTTTTGACTGGTTGCAGGAGGGTACCCCGGTGACCCCCAAGAGGACCCTCCTACCAATAAAGTTTGCCTTCAGCAACCGCTTGTGTGCGTTCCTTACGGAATGGTCCCAAATAACATCAGACCAACGTATCAGAGAGGTAGCTGTGTTTAGTCTGGAGTCTTAAAGGTGTTAGTCTTAAAGGTGCCACAGGACTCTCTGTTGCTTTTATCAGACCAATAGGTCCTCAACACCATTTCCCAGGGTTACATACTACAATTTCTCACCCCCACCCTCCCACCCCCTCGCTCAGATGGCAAGGGGGATCCGTCACATTTACCCCGCTACAGCAGACAGTGGGTCAGCTCCTCAGCTTGGGATACGTGGAGAAGGTTCCAGGGGAGTTCCGGGGGAAAGGGTTTTACTCCCGTTACTTCCTGATCCCCAAGGCGAAAGGGGGGCTTAGGCCCATCCTGGATCTGCGAGACCTCAATCAGTTCATGGCAAAATGCCGGTTCTGCATGGTCTCTCTGGCATGTATCGTACCCGTTCTGGACCCCGGCGATTGGTATGCGGCCCTGGACCTTCAGGACGCCTACTTCCATATTTATATATTCGAGGGGCACAGACGCTTCCTCCATTTCCTAGTGGGACAGGACCACTACCAATTTACGGTCCTCCCATTTGGCCTGTCCACCGTGCCCAGAGTATTCACAAAGTGTATGGCGGTAGTGACGGCCTATCTCAGACGCCGAGGGGTACAGATATTCCCCTACCTCGACTGGCTGCTCAAGGGCAGCTCGCGGTCCCAGGTACAGAACCACGTGGACCTGCTCTTGGCTACGTGTGCCGACTTAGGCCTCCTAGTAAACGAGGCCAAGTCGACATTGGTTCCGGTGCAGTGCATAGAATTCATAGGCGCTCTCCTGGATGCCTCCAAGGCCACAGTCTTCCTTCCCCTGGACAGGTTCCAGACCCTGAAGGGGCTTATAGCCTTGGACACAGAGTTCCCCGTCACCACAGCCAGGGCATGCCTGCGGCTCCTGGGCCCATGTGGTGGGGTGCATGCACGTGGTCCACCACGCCAGGCTTCGGATGAGGCCCCTCCAACTCTGGTTGGCCTCAGAGTTCTCCCAGGCCCAGGACAAACTGGACAAGGTCCTCTCGGTACCGGCATGGGTGATCACCACGCTACAATGGTGGTCCTGCCCGGCCAATATGCTCCAGGGAATTCCCTTCTGGGACCTGACCCCATCACTGGACCTAGTGTCCGATGCGTCGGACCTGGGTTGGGGGGCCCACATAGGGAACTCATAGACCCCAGGGGTGTGGTCAGCTGCTGAGCTGTCCCTTCACATAAACGTCAGGGAACTCAGGGTGATACGCTTAGCCTGTGTGGCGTTTGGCTCACAGCTGCGCGACAAGGTGGTCAGAGTACTCACGGACAACACTGCTGCGAAGTTTTACATCAACAGGCAAGGCGGGACGAGGTTCTCGACCCTCTGACTGGAAGCCCTCAGCCTCTGGGAGTTCTGTATAGCCCACGACATCTCCCTGAAGGCTTTCCACCTGCCAGGCATCAACAACACACAGGCCGATCGCTTGAGCAGGGTTTTCTCCTCCCAACACGAGTGGTTGCTCCACTCGGAGGTCACTCACCAGCTCTTCCGAGCGTGGGACACTCCCCAAGTAGACCTGTTTGCGACCCGACAGAACCACCATTGCCATAGGTTCTGTTCCAGAGGATGGTGGGGGGGAACGCGATCTCAGATGTCTTCCTCTTGTCATGGTTGGGTCAACTCCTTTATGCCTTTCCCCTGTTTCCCCTCATTGGCAAGGTCCTGGAGAAAGCGAAAACAGACAAGGCGTCCTCCTGATCACCCCAGCTTGGTCCCGGCAACATTGGTACAGGACCCTCCTGGGCTTGCTTGTGGCCCCTCCGTGGCCGTTGTCACTCCGCCCGGACCTACTCTCCCAGGACCAGGGCCGCTGCCTCCACCCCAATCTGGCCACCCTCCGTTTGACAGCGTGGCTGATCAAGGGCTAGATGTGGAGGAGAGAAGGTGTTCAGAAGGGGTCAGGCATGTCCTCCTCGAAAGTAGAAAGCCATCCACGCGCCGAGCCTACCTAGCGAAGTGGTCCAGGTTCTCCAGGTGGGCAGGCGAGTGGGGTACTTCCCCAGTGTCTGCCCTGCTCCAACTTATCCTTGAGTACCTTCTTCACCTTAGAACTCAAGGCCTGGCCCCTTCCTCTGTCAGAGTGCACCTGGCAGCTATTTTGGCGTTCCATCCGCTAGTCCAGGGCTGCTCAGTTTTCTCCCATGCCATGACCAGGCGTTTCCTCAAAGGGCTAGACTGGTCCTTTCCTTATGCTAAAACCCCTGTCCCTCAGTGGGATCTAAATTTGGTGTTATCCCGCCTCACGGGACCCCCGTTTGAACTCCTGGCCACATGCTCATGGTCTCACCTTTCATGGAAGGTAGCCTTCCTCGTGGCCATCACGTCAGCCCCGCTTGATGTGCGCAGAGCTTTTTATCTGGATTGGACTAAGCCATTCCGCAGCTCTTTGCAACTCTTTGTTGCTTCAGCTGAGCGCATGAGGGGTCAACCGATCTCCACCCAGAGGCTTTCCCGGTGGATTACATCGTGCATCCACACATGCTACGACTTAGCAGGGGTTCCTGCACCACCTATCATAAGGGCTCACTCGACAAGGGCTCGGGCCTCATCGTCAGCCTTTGTACATGCGTTCATGTCGCGCTATGCGATCGTCTCCCACGCCAGGGATGACGCTGTTTCGGTAGAGCTGTGCTTCAGCCAGGGAATCTGTGAACTCCTACCCACCTCCATCAGACATAGCTTGCAATCACCTACTGTGGAATACACATGAGTAATCACTCAAAGAAGAAAGGACAGTTACATGTTCTGTAACTGGCGTTCTTCGAGATGTGTTGCTCATGTCTATTCCACATCCCGCCCTCCTTCCCCTCTGTCGGAGTTGGTCTGGCAAGAAGGAACTGAGGGTGGAGGGAGCACGCGGTTCCCCTTATAGCGCGCTATAGAGGCGCCACTCCAGGGGTTGCAGCAGCGCTCTCCCCTGCGGGTACTGCTGAGGGAAAAACTTCCGGCACTGGTGCACGTGGTGAGCCTGCACATCTAGACATGAGCAACACATCTTGAAGACCGCCAGTTACGGAACAGGTAACTGTCCTTTATGACCTGCCTAAATGCTGGGTTGAGTTATTCATCTTATTGTTTAAAAAAAAATTTCAGCAATATAAGTGAAAACAAAAAATATTAGGAAGCTGTTTCTTTTTTTAACATTGTAACTGGCAGCCATAGAAGGGGAACTAATTTTTTTAATTATTTCACCTTATCCATAGTGAATTCTCTTCCTTCTGTGAAAGTTTGCAATGTATACAATGAATGTAATTTTCTATACAAATATTCCAAGTAAAGAGAACTGTTCTAAGACTACAGTAATTACCAGATTGGGGAGAGAAAACTCCATCCTTTCACTGATTGGCCAGTGCTCTGTACTTCAGGTGAAATAATAAACTTTTCCATGATGCTCGCAATTGTGCAAAATTTGTCTTTACCTGGTGATTATCTTATGCCTTGAAGCAGGTAGTCTGAGATATACCTTGTAATTTGAACCTGGCTACTGTAACTGTAGATGCTGCCGTTATTCATATAAATGTCTACAGCTGTCTAGAATGCCTACTGGCTTTGGCACCAAATGCTCTGTTCAGCAACAATGTTCACAAAGTAAGTGACCTGGAGGTCTGTTACCTATAGTCTAGTAACGAATGCTTCAACTTTACCCTCGTTAGTTGCAAGCAAGTCCTTTACATGATCTGTTTGTTTATGCAGTAAATCCAGACTGTTACCACTAATTATGCTTCTTAGAGACGTGCTTCCCAACATGGATTATCCCGACAGTGACAAGTGTTAAAAGTTTAGCAAAGAAGGAAAGTAACACTGAGTACAGGAAGCTGGAATGGAGTTTGAAGAAAACACATGTGCCTCTGAAACCACAGCATGCTGGATTTTTTTTTATACTGTGTCCGATTATGTTCTATTTTGTCTACTTTCTAGCACCTTTTTTTAACTTACCAGTTTTTTGTGACAAGAAAGAAAAGTCTGTCATATTGTACGGATTAAACTGAGAGCAAAAGAAACCATTTGTGCGGGTCAGGGTTTGCCTGATATGGCATACTGATCTAATAGCTGCCCGTTTTGTAATCAGACTTTGTGGGAGAAATCAGACTGCTTCCCAATGTTTGTGACTTCTTCACAAAAATATCCTGCAATCTGACGTCTGCAGAGACAAGAGCTAGGTATTTTCATGTCAGTTGTGTACATCAGATTTTTCTTTCTTTTCGAGCAATAATTTCATGAGGAACTTTGATTTGTATCTGTATTAAAGCATGGTGTAATAAAAAAAAATTACTTGCGGAGTGTGAAATTGCATTTAAGTAATGATCACAATCTTTTTCCGTGAAACTTGCACATGAGTGTATGTATACATATATATACACAGACACTAGTTACATTCAAAACAGCCTAGATAATAAAAGGATTATTGAGGGAATTCCTAGAAGTTTTAGTGTAGAGCCCGTCTGTGCTTGTACAATTAAACTAGCATAAAAGTGTACATACTTTTAAATAATTTGTTCTATAATGAGATCAGTATGTATATGTAGAGTGATTTGTTAATCACTTCTTAAGCAGCTATGCTTGATGAACTGTAATAATTAAGTTGCTGTAATTCTGAAAGTATTACAGAAGGGCCTGTAATTTAACAGTTAAGCCACTAAATGTTTAATTACTATTTTTACTAGATAGTAATCTTCTTCCATAAATTCAGCTAAAAGGACTGGCAAACTTAAATATTAATGTGAATGTGAAAAAGAATTCTGCAGACAGGATTTTTATTGGGCACTGTGTTAAAGTAGCTGTTGCAACATATATTGATAGGTTTTAAAGCTGACATCTCAGCTTCATTTTTGCATTCCTATTGAACAAATATTGTTAATTTTTAAGTAATTAAACTTGCATTTCTGTATCCTCTTACTCATTCTTTCAAAAATATTTGCTGTGGCCTAAGCGTGCCACAGCCCTGCCCTGGGAGCCAGACAGAGCTGTGCACCTTGCGTTGGGAGCTTCAGGTAGCATTGAGCTTGGGCTTCCTAGTTACACTGAAAGAGTACTTTTGCTATATGACCTCCCTCTCATTCAGAGACAGCTCTATGCCTGGCAGATAGTGGGGAAAGAGAATCTGTTTATTCCCTACCATTCCCCCAACCCATTTCTTGGGAGTCACTTCTGTGTGGAACATCCCTTGTAGTTCCCAGAGCATAAATGCTGTTACGTTGGGCTGTCCATACATGGGCCACACAAGTGGGAAAGGCTCCTTATTCCCTCCTTTCACTGCATGGCCATGTAGGGGGGATTGCAGTGTAACCCTATGTTTCCTATGTATTTCTTTTGTGGAAGAATTTCCTTAACTAAAGTAATAATGCTTGATGATGTACCTAGTAAAAGGTGAGGTGCCTAGTCTAGTCCCCCAGGGACAGTGTTGGACCTAGTTTTGTTTAACATATTTACTAATGACCTAGAAGAAGTAGTAAACAGCACATTAAATTCAAGATAATACTAAATTGGAAGGTGTTGCTAGGACAGAAGTTATGCAAGGAATCTAGAGATCAGAGCTATTGGCAGAAAATAACAGTGATGTTAACCCCAAATAAATGCAGCCCATTTGGTTTCTGTTACAGAAGTGCTGTCTTTCCAAGGCCTCAAATTTACGTCACACCTGAGTTTCCTTTAGTTTGGAAGTACTGTTCTGAACATGTATGGCTGGTTTAGCCATAAAATCCATGTCTATTGCTAATGATGATGACCATCCTTGCCACCTTCATTTAGTGTATGGCCTCTCAGGCTCAAAGCATTAGGTTTAATGTTTCTAGGCACAGTCCTAACTATAGTGCTGTTTCTGCAACCCTTACTTATGTTGCTGCTGCTATTTGCTTTTCTTGTTATAACTATGCCCCCTTGGGCATCTGAGCTATACTTGTATTGACTTATGACAACTTACTGTGTCTTGTACATCTCTTATATCACCTCTGAGTCTGGTGAGCACCAAATTTTATTTTTCTCAGTGATGTGGCCAGATTAGTTCAATGGGTTTTGTAAGTGAAATAAAGATCCTTCTATGGAGACTGATGACCAATTGTGTCATAAGTGAGCTGTATGTTGAGGGAAAGATAAGACCCTCCTGCAGGAGCACAGAATATTGTTATACAACTGACAACAATATGATTTTCAAAGAAGGTGTGTGTGTGTGTGTGTGTGGAAAGAGATTTTCACTTTTATATAACTGCTTCAAATTACATTAGATCAACAGGGACCATCTATTCAATAATCATTACCCCTCAGGGCCATGTTTAAAATAACGTAATTATCTCTAATATTCTGTATTAGGGTTCTAATATTATATAAATATTTACAATTAATCACAAGGGATATTGTTTGGACACTCTTAATAGAACAGCTGAGCTAACCTTTAAGTTCATCCCTCTTCAATGAGGTTGACTCATGTGGGACAGCCTGAATTGACATTGAGAGCTCAGATATAGTGTTGTCAGTTGTCTGGCACCTTTCCTGGGAGTAATACTTATTTATATGTGTTCCGTGCATTTGGTCAGGAGAAGAATTCTGTTGGAATTGGTCTTGCCCACTCCTTCCTTTCTGATCATGCCATTTCAAAGCTGCAAGTCATGTCCAACTCTTGCATTAAAATTGCCAAGGAGTATGAACTTGTCCTCTTTGGTGATGGCAGAGAGAATTCGGTCAAGGTTGGCATAACATTTTTCTTTTGATTTCATCATCAGCATCAAGGGTTGGATCATATGCATTGATGAGTGTTGCATGCTGATTTTTGCCAAGTTTAAGACAGAGGGTCCTGAGTCATTCATTGATGCTAACAAGTAATTCCGAGAGTTGGTTGATGATTTTGTTTTTGATAGCAAAACCAACACCATAGATTCGTCGTTCATTGTCACTGCTCCCTTCCAGAAAAAAGTTATACCACCACCTTTTTCCTTGAGCTGTCCTCCTGTATGTCAGATCTCACTCAGTGCAGCAGTGTTGATGTCATGCCTCCTGAGTTCTCTGGCCACAATTGCTGTTCTTTGCTCTGGACGGTTACTTTTCAGGTTGTCGATCAGGTTTTGAACGTTCCAGGTTCCAAATTTCATTGTTTAGTCTCGACCACAGTTAGGTGATACCTCTGGTCACGGTTATCCAGTCGGGGGGAGGCAAGGCAGACTGTGTTTAGGGCACCTTAAAAAAAAATAGTCGACACTTTCTCTGTGGCCTACCACTAACTCAGGCTCATACCTAACACCAAGAAAAATGAAGTACTCCACCAACAGGCTGCAAATCACCAGGATCCTGCTCCCATAATTCAGATCAATAAAGAGACCCTGGAGAATGTTGAGCACTTCCTTTACCTCGGCAGCTGTCTGTTGCAGAAAGCTGACACTGATGATGAAATTCAACACTGCCTTCAATGTGCCAGTGCAGCTTTCGGACTCTTGAGAAAACAATCTTCAAAGATTGTTACATCGAGAATCAAACAGAGCTTCACGTGTATCAGGCTGATGTTATCCCTTCTCTCTTGTACGGTGCTGAAACCTGGTCAAGTACAGTAGACACCTCAAGATTCTTGAATGATACCATCAACGGTGCCTCTGAAAAATCTTCTGAGTCAAGTGGAATGACCGATGCACCAACATCAGTGTTCTGTCCTAGGCCAAAGCCTTCAGCATTAAAGTGTGATCATCCACCACCAACTCCATTGGGCTGGTCATGTTCTTCAAATGCCAGAAAATCAACTCCTGA